GGAACCAATCAAACTTCTATAAATCGAAGTATCGACCAAACCACACTCATCCTCCTTCATCAGTTTCTCTCCTTGAACTGTAGGCGTACTTACTGGTTTGCATTTTGAAGTCTAATAAACAAATGCAAACCCCAAATCATCATTTGAAGTCTAATATACAAGGTTGCTTCATTACAACTTCTCTTAAACACCAAATTCAGTAAGTAGCTATCGATCCATGCATACCAGGACCTAGATGTCTGTTTCAAGCCATAAAGAGCTTTTCTTAACAAATATATCTGGTCTCCAACTCATCTAAAACCTTCAGGCTTCTCTACATAAATTTTCTTTTCAAGACACCCATTAAGGAAGGCAGACTTAACATCCAATTGAAATACTTGCCACCTTTGGTGTGCTGCAACTGCAAGTAGCAATCTGATGGTATCAAATCTTGCAACTGGTTCAAAGGTTTCATGAAAATTAATTCCATGCTGTTGCATGTACCCCTTTACAATCAGCCTTGCTTTGTACTTGTTGAGTGTGCCATCTGAATTCAACTTAATCTTGAAATCCATTTAGTTCCAAGAGCCTGCTTGTCAGGAGGTCTAGGTACAAGTACCCATGTATTATTCTTGTTAATCATATTGAGCTCCTCCTCCATGGCAATCCTCCATTCAAGAATTTACAATGCATTGTCTACACTTGTTTGCTCCAACATAGCGACACTGCATCTATTATATATATCTTCAATGGATCTGGTATCTCTTACTACAAAATCATTAGAATCCTGATTCAAGTAGGTGTAGTAGCAGAAGCAACTGACTTTAATTTACAACTTACATGGAAATCAAATATTAGCTATTGCGATTTATGCTAAATGCTCTAATATTGAGAGACAAAGTCTATCGGGAGATTTGTCCTCAATCAGTCAACAATTCAATATGCCTTAAATGATGGGAGGTGACTTTAATGTGATCCTTGGAGATGAAGAAAAACTTGGTGGAATGTCTGTTTATCCACATGAATATGAGGATTTTGCATTATGTCTTAACTCATGTGATTTGTCTGATGTTTATTTCTCATGAAATCCTTTTACTTGGTGGAATGACAGAGTTGATAAGGCATGTATTTTCAAGAGATTAGATAGGGTTGTAGCTAATGATTCATTATTGGAGATTTATGGCAACACTGAACTACAACACCTAGCTAGGACATGTTTGATGATGCCCCCTTACTCCTTACGTGTGGGGGGTGGGAAATACTCCTATTGCAAAACCTTTCAAGTTCTTGAATTTTTGAACTGAAAGAGAAAACCAAATAATATTTTCATTCAGCTGAAGTAGAAACAAAAAAGGATCAATAAGGCTTTGACCTTATGGAGTGGAGAGAAAATTGGAGATATCGCAATTGACTATTAGAGAAGAGACTGTGATGATTAAAGAGAGATTATTTCAAGAGATCCTTCACTAGATAACACATCAATATTGCAAAGAGCACATGCAGAGTTAAAACTTTATCTTCATTATGAAAAAGAGTTTTGGAGGCAAACGGCTAGTGTACAATGGTTTGAAGAAGGAGACATAAATACTAGATTTTCCATGGCCTTGTTAGGGGAAGAAGGAAAAGACTTACATTGAAGAGTTCTCAAGGAAGATGACACATGGACAAAATCAAATGATGTAATCATAAGGGAAGGAGTTTACTTTTTTGAAAAGCAATTCACTAGTGGAGATATAGATGAGCAAATGTCTCTATTACAGGGTATCCAACCACAAATATTCCAGGAAGATAATGAATTTCTCAAAGCTCTACCTGATATAGAAGAAATTTAAAAAATGGTCTTTGAATCAAATGCTGATAATGCTTGTGGTCCTGAATGTTTTATTGGATGTTTCTATCAGACATACTGGGATATTGTAGGCCATGATATATACAGGTTGCGCATGCCTTTTTCTAGAGTGTCTCTCTACCAAAATCTATTACTCACACTAATTTGGTTCTAATACCTAAAAATGATACTACCCAGCCCTTATCAGATCTTAGACCAATTAGTCTGAGTAACTTCTTAAACAAGATCATCTCCAGATTGATTCATGATAGGATTGAAGGTTATCTGCCTAAATTGATATAAGAAAATCAATCTAGCTTTGTTAAAGAAAGGAATATCACTAAAAATGTGTTGCTAGCTCAGGAGGTTATATCTAATATAAGGCTAAGGGGTAGGCCTGATAATGTGGTTATAAAGCTGCACATGGCAAAAGTATATGACAACGTAGTGTAATTTTTTATCAAAATCCTGGAGAAGATGGGTTTTGATGCTGAGATTCTAGACATGATTTGTAGACTTATTGGTATCCAGTTATGATTAATGGGCAGGCTCATGGATTTTTCCATTCTACAAGAGGGGTCAAGCAATGAGATCCTTTATCACCTGCTCTTTTTATATTGTCTACAGAAGTGTACTAGAGCTATGAATCACTTATTTGAGAGATATGATTATAAAAGCTATGGATTGCCTAAATGGAGTGATAAATTGAATCATTTGTCTTAAGGAGATGATACAATTATTTTTGCAGTTATAGACAAAAAATTATTAAAGTTTATAATAAAGTTTTGAAAAAAATATGAGGAACAATCAGGACAATTGATTAATAAAGATAAGAGCTCATATTATGTATATAATAAGGCAAAACATGTATCTAGACAATTGATGTCACTGGTTTCTCAAGAGGTTAATTTCCTTTGACATACATAGGTTGCTCTATTGGTCATGCTAAGAAGAAGAAGGTACATTTCACAGTATTATTAAAGAAAATTCAAGACAAGTTACAATTGTGGAAGGGAAAGCTTCTAACTTTTGGGGGTAAAACAGTTTTATTAAATAGTGTGCTTAAGAGCATCCCTATTTATCTTTAATTTGTCCTTAATCCTCTCCCCCCAAGTGTGTAATACATGATATTCATAGAATGTTTGCTAAATTTCTGTGGAACTTCAAAGAGGAGGGAAGATCTACCCACTGGATAACATGGAAGGATATCTGTGTGCCTAAAAAAGGAGGATTGGGATTTAGGTCTTTATTTGACCTCTCTATGACTTTATTTGCTAAGTTAGGATGGAAATTTAGGACACCTAATACACTATGGTCTAACTATATGTGGAATAAGTATTGTAAGAGGCATATGCCACAAACAGTAGAATAGAAAGATGGATCTCAAATATGGAAGAATATGTTACTGGCAAGAGAATTCTTTGATCAGAAGATATGGTGGGAACCAAAGAATAGACATGCTAGTGTATGGTTTGATAATTGGACTCAATTGGGATCCCTACATTATCATATGAATTTGAATCATGATCAGAGTCAGGTGGAATCTGTTAATCAGTTGTTTAATGAGGATGGATGGGTTCTAGACAGTCTTACAACATACTCTTGATGAGGAAACTTGTAATCATATTACTAGAATCTTGGTAAGTCTAACCCCTTCACAAGAAAGAGACAAACCTTGGTGGATGCTCAGTGGGTCTAGAAAATTTAAGGTTAAATCAACATGGGATTTATGTAGAAATAGATAGGATCCTATTGAGAAGATATTGAATATATGGGTGAAGGGACTACCTTTTAAAGTGCCATTCATGTTATGGTGATTGTGGTTTAGGGGAATTCCTATTAGGGAAGTTCTTATTAGAAGAGACATTACTAACTCTGGGATATGTTGTTGTTGTAACCGTAATGAACAAGTGACATTTGTACATTTATTTATTGAATGTACGAACTCATATCATATTTGGAGGTTGTTCAATGAGGCTACATGTCTGCATTTTCAGGTGGTACAACTCAAACAAACATTGGAGGAATGGTGGAAGGCTGACTGTACTACAAATTAAAATCAATATTTAAAGTAGCTCCTGATTTTATAATATGGCAACTTTGGAAGAGAAGGAATGTGATCAAGCATGGTCGTAGTATGGCTAGATAAAGCATAATATTGGAGATTCTTAGAAATGGCTATTTGTTTACTAGGTACAGATGCCCATGGTTAAAGGACATCCCAAAGAGTTGGACGTTCATTGTGAAGTTTCTGGAAGGGTATATTCGACTGATTGTGTGATGGCTACACCCTCCTAGGGGTAAATTCAAAAGCAATACTGCCATGAGCTGTAAAAGATGAAATAGGTTCAATGACTTTTTGTGTAATAGATGAATATGGGAAGATGATATATGCTGAATCAAAGGTGATGGAGAATGTCTCAGTTATTGAAGTGGAAATAAAAGCCATTAGAATAGGTATAGACTACTATGTTGAACACAACCTAATACCCCTGATCATTGAAACAAATTCATTAATGGCTTAGAAAATACTATGTGGAAGTTAGGAGGCCCCTTGGTTAATATCTCCGGATGTAGGCTACATTAAGGGACTAATGATAGAAATAAAAGTGAAAGTGATGCATTCATATCGAGAAGGAAATTCAGTAGCGGATTTTTCTGCTAACATTGCTTTTGATTTTTCAGGTACAAGCAGGAAACAATTCTATAACATAAGTGAAGCACCTTAACAGGTACAAACAATCATTCAACTGGAAATAAACAACATGTCAAATTTGATAATAAGGAGAATACATAACACATATTACATGATGCTATGATATTGAGCAAACAACACTTTAGAGTACAGATGATATACTTCAACCAGTACAAACAATCATTCAATTGGAAATAGGCAATAGGCAAAATCTGTGAATTAGGAGAATATAGAACACACGTTACAAGATGCTATGACATTGAGCAAGCAACACTTGAGAGTACAAATGATTTGCTTCAATCGGTAAGCTACCTAATAATTTCAGCTGGAATTTCATCTTTTTAAACAGCGGTATTAACCCTTTTGGGGTTAAATCTATTGAGAAGATAAAATTAAAGTTGAAAAATAAGGTAAAAGGCGCAGTAGGTCATCATGTTTTTTCAAATCAGTGGCTATCTCATTTCATTCCTTTTGGGGGCGAAGTTCACAATCACATACCTTCCATTCCAGCAAAGATCTACCTCATTCATGTTGAAGAAGTCTTCATTGATAACGAATCATAACGCCAGTGAGATTTTTGGTGTTCAAGTGATTACAAGCCGGACATGATATTGTTTGTAGAAGATGAAGGTTAGACGGGTATGGTAGTGTCGAGGAAGCCATGGATACAGAGCTTCAGCGCGGCTATTCAAAGATGAGGACTTGAAATGGGGTTTTGGAAACCTCCTGAAGCTCTTGCCTTTCTATTGTACTTGATTATGTCCTTTTTTGTTTTCTAGTTAGGGTGTGTTTGGTATGAAGGAAAACATTTTCCGGAAAATGTTTTCTAATTTTCTCATGTTTGGTTGGGTTAAATGTTTTGGAAAATGTTTTCCAAATCAACTCATTTTCCTCAAATTTAAGGAAAATGACTTCCCTTCAAAACTTAAGGAAAACATTTTTCCAAACTTCTCTACAACTTCAAATTACAATTACTTTTTTGTTGAAAAAATCAATTTATTTTGTCCCTACACTCAAATCAGCCCCCCCACAAAATATATCCCCCCCAAAAAAAAAAGAAAATTTTAAAGTTTGTTTTTAAATTCAATATTTTTACCCCACCCTCA